CTAACCAAAAGGCCGTTCCTTTTTTAGACCGCATGCCGTTAAAGCATGGAACTCATTGCCACCAGATGCTGTGGAAGCTGAAAGTTGAGCTAGATTCATAGTTATTAGGGTTGGAAGGGACTTCAATGGATCATCGAGTCTGACCCCCGCCCCGGGCAGGAAAGTGTGCTGGGGTCAGATGACCCCAGCCAGGTGCTTGTCTGGTCTCCTCTTAAAGACCCCCAAGGTCTTATAGACCCCCAAGAGTCAAAAATAGACTGGACCCATTCTTGGATGAAAGGGACATTAGTAACTATTGAGCACAGCAGATACAGCTTCTGAATCAGGACTTCCTAGACCTTATGTGCAGGAGGCTGCAAGGGAGAGAGGAACAGTGGAGAAAAACCCCAGTCAGACCCAATTCTCTCTCCCTTTCAGCATCTTGTCTCGGCCGCTGTGTGACAGGAGCCTGGGCAAGATGGACCTATGGTCTGAGCCAGTCAATGGCAATTCCTATGTTCTTATCTTCTCTCCTGATCCATCTCTGTTAGTGAAAGGGCTAAATTAAGAGCTTGGCAGTTCCTTCCTCATCCACAGAAGAGTTGCAGGGCAGACAGTTACTGCGAGAGCTTTTCAGACATGATTTCCCTCTATTGTAGCTCAGGCATGACCCCAAGGGACCTTCTGGAGGGGGGAGAGGTTAGTTCAGTCTCCATGGCTCACTGAGTTCTTGGCTTCTCTACATTGCCAGCTATTTGTGGCACCAGGCTCTAGTCAACTATTTATTACTGTCTACATATCATATTAAATGCTCAGGCTCCTTTACAATAAATTCCCCACCCTGTAGAGTATGGGTCCAAAAGGTACAAACCCAGCAAGAGCAAACACAGTGCTATTTGATCACTGTAAGTGCAGCATAACACAGTATAACAATGTCATGGTGGAGTCAGTGGGTCTCAGGGTGCATTTGGAGAGAGGCTGCTTGGAAAATTGCAATTGGGAGTCTGTTTAGAGCTTGCAGGACCATGTGGGAGAAGGTACCGAAGCTCTGGAGTGGGCCGTGGGGCAGGGGGAGAAAAATCAAGATGCGGAGCTTTTGAAGGCGGAAGGTGAAAAGCGTGTTTTGTGATGCTTTAAGTGTCTTCTGTGGAGTTGGCCACTAAATGAGTTTCCTGTACATAGGAACATGGGATACAGAATTGGAAGGGCCATGCAAGGCTACTGAATTCAGCCTCTGCCGTGACAGGTAATCACATTACACAAAGCCATTCATCAATTTACCATGCTCTGCCTTAAAACTGGTTAGGTTTTTTTTGCCCCCGCTACTCCCATTGGAAGCCTCTTTCAGAACCGTATGTCTGTGATAGTTAGAAACCCATTTCTGATTTCCATTTTTCTTCCTGAAGTTACTCCTGGTTAGTTCATACCCATTGTTTTTTGTGCCCAAATCACCCTTGAGGCAAACAGCTCTTCTCCCTAGTGCTGACTGAGCTTGCAAAGTGGAAATTATCCCAAACTCTCCTGAACATTTTCAATTCCTTTTCCTACCTCTATCATCACACAAGACGGTACCACCCTCGCCCATCATTTAAAACGATATTTATGCTATGATCTTTTCATTCATGTTAGGCCTGTCCATGTTAATTATTTGGTTATTTCCCAGTTAAGGAAGGCAAAAAGAAGGAAAATGTCATATGAAAGCGATACATGGGAGCTGCTACTTACAAAGCTGACAGAGCAGTGGTCCATGTGATCGCTCTCAAAGAGGATGACGTCTTTGATGAAGACCGCAATGGCTCTCATTATGAAGGACATGAAGAGGTGCATGTGAATATAATTTCGAGTACAGTGCAGTTTTCTGCAGAAAGGGAATAGCATGAAATAACATTTTTGAGCATCAGGGCTTCTCAATACACCATTCTTTTGACTGAAATGATATAATGTTTCTTTGACCAAGAGATAGCTCCTCATTTAACAACTGGAAACACTTGAGGCAGATTTTAATCTGGTGGAAATCAATGCAAGCTCCATTGAAGCCATTTTATACCAACTACGGAGGTGACCCCCAATCTGTCTGTTTAGGGGAGGTGGAAAACAAAAGTGCCATGCAAATATGTCAAATCTTGGATCAGTAGCAAATTTTCCATTGGCAATTCCAATGGTACATGAGCTTCATGAGTATATGACCTTTTCCAGGACAAGGGTCTGATTCCTGCAGAATTACTGCCACCATTTTCTGCAAGGAAACCCCATTTTTGGAACAGCGCTGGCCCAAATTAATAAATGCTTGCATATTTTATTATAGCAGCATGACTCATACTTTTATGCAAAAGCCATGACTTCTTAACCAAAAGCAAGGGGAATACTAGGCTTATACCATCTCTTCCTCAGCATAGCATACTTTGGAGACATATTTGTATTAAGGAAATTAGATTTTCAAACCAATTTTTCTAGTAAGTGACAGGCCTCATGCCCTGGAAATAGCTATGTTATAGCCATGGCAACTATAAAAGAGCTCATTCTTTGTTTCTTCATTCCTTCTCTTATGGCAGGGATGGACAAAGAAAGGAAGGAAGAAAAGTGGGTCATCGTTTTTTGGTGTGCCTAGCCACAGCATTGACAGAGGAGACTCACAGCTGCTCCAAAATACTCTGTTTCCTCCAGCCTCCTGCAACACTTATATTTGTGATTTGATTGTGACAGACCCTAGAATTGGACAACCTACTATAAGGTATGACCCTGCATTTGTAGGCAGGTATGGATTAGACAAGTTAGCAACTCGTGCCCATCTCCAAGTGGTCTAGTTCTCTGCTATCCTCTTCAGACCTCAGCAACAGCTGCAAACAAAAGTCTTTTCAACACCATCACTGTAATGTTGTGTGGTTATTATGTGTTCTGAGGTTAAAGGCGGCCAGGAGCTGGAGGACGGCTCTGCTTCTTTCCAAGGCATACTCTGAGCAACCGAGCCACGTAGACTGCTTGGCTGGTGTTGCAAACCCCCATGCAAATGTCACCATTCAAATGCCATGGGACTGAGACACCTCAAAAGGTGTCGTTCTTTGAGAAACATCATGTCCTCTGCTGGTGTCATCTATCTTGCCCTTGAAAGGCATCCTGGGGGACCTCCAAAGACATTCCACTCTTAATGCATAGCCAAGGATCTGCTGATTTCCCCAGAGTTAAAGAGCCAGTTCCCCTCCCTTGTCCTGTCCTTTCCCCTCTCTTATTTGAGTCCTTTTCCCTCCACACCCCAGGTCTTACCTGAAGAGGCACAAAATGATCATAGCAGCTGTGAGAGTGATGAGTGATAAACTGTGTCCAATGGTGTAACCCGTCCTGACTGTGTCGTAGAACACCGCCTGCTAACATGAAGAAAAGAGGCAAAA